AATCAGTCGACCTTATCGCCTGAAGAAGACTAGCAGTAAGCAGTCGAAACGTCGCGATCTACATCTCAAGTGACTACATCGTGAGACAAACGATAATACGCTTTATTATTAAAAGAACACTTTTTTGAATCTTTGTCAAACAACGCGTAATGACACACAAAGGTGGAGCTGCACATCAAAGCGGAGCTAAACTCATCGTGAGGCTCTGCAGCTAATGAAAAATCTTCCTCTTCATCTAAACTTTCTTGAGATGAAATTTTGAAGTATGAAAATCGAAACATCTCCATCTAAACACAGGCAAGCCTCGCTAATAAAATAACATGAATTTGGATGAGTAACGTCATTTCGATTATAAACGTTTCGAGACTAGTTTTGATCAGCTACGAGAAACATATCTAACAAATAGATACTTTTTGAGGCAAGCCATTGTAGGTTTAATGACAGTGGTTTGAATGAAACATCTGTTAAGTGCTTGAGAGGGTCTCACATCATCTGCGTAACTATCACATCGTACTCTTAAAATGGACCAAAATTACCGATTTTTCAGTTTAAATAATCTGAATTTAATCTGGTGTCAGTTTCTTTATTTTGGCTCTACCTCTTTAATAAGGGCAGTTAAGTTTACAATTAAGTTTTTTTTTTTTTTTTTTTTGCAANTGATGTGTTGCTCTGTTTCGTCTAATTTTTGTCACAGAGTGTTGAAAACTAAAGTAAATAGGAACTGATGATAGCAAGCCGACTCAAACCAAATTTAAAGGGCGCTGGTGACAGCCAATGCCACCGACAAAAACATTTTCTACAAATACCTTTTGAGGGCTCCTGTCTGGTTTGTCCGAAACTTTGAAGTACAAAGATTGAAACATCTTATTAGTGTACATCAACAATATGTTATTTTCTGTAAGCTAGGAAAGAGACCTAATAGAAAAAATACTTTTTTCAAGTCAACTGACAGAAGTGATGCATCCTTAATGTTAGTGGTTTTAATGATTCATTTGTTGAGTGATTTTCCCCAAATTGGCCAAAATGAGAAATTTGACATTTGTAGTATTTTGAATAAAATTAGCGTCAATATTAATTCTTATTGTGCCTTTACTTTTCTAGAAAAATTGCAATTAATTTTTGAGAGATTCACAATCAGTACTTGTGACTCAAAACAAGTAATTTTTAAAAAAGTAGCCTGCAGAACAGGCGGATTAGCGGGGCAGAAAGCGAAACGCGATATACGAGCGCGAAACGCTTTTTCGTCTCGCGCTTCGCGCGCGTGGTCGCGCTCCGCGCTCGTGTATCGCGTTTCGCTCTCTGCCCCGCTAATCCGCCTGTTGCAATTTTGTCTATTTTTGAAAAAGTCTAGAAAATCTAAAAGTAAATAACAAATTGAGTCGCCTATACTAGTAGACTATTTTATAATTAATCAAAACTATAACAAAATTCTC